GACGGGAAGTTGAGGCAGGATGAGAGGAGAGCGACGGATGAGACGAGGAGAGAGAGAGGAAGAAGAGAGACGGAGCTGCCGAGAGAGAAGAGAGGCACGAGAGGAGATTGAGAGAGAGAGGAGAGAGGAATTGAGTCTGAATAAAAAGTGGCCCAGTGAAGATAGTGAGGCGGTTGTAGAATACGAGGTGGCTGAGTGAGCGGACAATTTAAGGAATGCCAAGCGGGTAAGACGGGACGGGATGAAGTAGGAGTTTTGCAGCCCCATAGGTTAGCGGCGCTCTCCTAAATCATAACCACAGCTCAGTCTTCTTATAACAAATTTCATTATATAAATCTATGCATGCGCACTACCCCCTAATGATAGTAAATGTATATTCATCACCAAATATAACTCCTGCTGGTGAGATATTGCGGCATGCGCCAAGACACTAACTTAGCCCATATTGTGTACTGACTGGTATATGCAACGGGGACCTTAACATGCAAGGTATTCTTTCCTATCTCTTAAGTGAGGTCTACGGATGGAATGTTATCATCTTACTATAAAATTTGCGCGGGATTCTTCTGTGTGTGTGTTTGCCTGTGTGTGTGTGTGTCCGGCTATACGTTTCCGCAACGCTCAACGGAATCCTCTCCAAACTTGGGCTCGGAACATTCTACAAGATCATGACACGTTGCATGGGCTATTAATTTTTTCACAGTTTCATTTTTTTCACATTCCACGTTTCAAAAAACTTTCAAAAAAGTGGGAAAATTCTTGCACCAAGGCGGCTGCAACGTCACAACACAAAAACACAAGTTGGCAATGTTGAAAAAACGAATGTATAAACCAAAGGCGCTACTATCTAAGATTTTCTAAGTTGCTCCATCTAATCTAACCTAATCTAACCTAACCTAACCTAACACCTGTAATCTAAGCCTAATCTAATCTAACCAGCGAGAAATGTTGCACATTGTTCTTAAATGGTTGCGCATTTCGTTATAACATAGTCCAAGCTTTCCAGACGGCAAGAAATTGGTTATAACAAGTGCCCCAGCTAATGCCACCACAAAAGAAAGGCATCACTGCACACGTCATGTCAGTGATTTCTAGGGACTGCGGAGCTAATTAGGGCTTTGCCGTTTTATTTACTTTCTAACCCTGCGCTAGTTATTGTTGTTTTGGTAATAACATGGCCCGACGTATGCTCGTATTACGTAGCCCTACCGCGCACC